GATGAAGCATTACTGTCGATCAAGTTAAGTATACTCTGAACTGTATACACGTCATTGTGCTCGTAGTAGCGGTGTGTTAATTTCCTAAGCCTTCTTTTAGAAGTTCTAAAAGTATTCAGGCCCCTATTAGCATTATAAGCCTCATATGGAGCAGCGGAGTCAAGGCAATATATCAGGTTGTGGTATAGATTGGAAAGCGCAATGTCAACATTATTTGTGGCAAAATAAGTTTCCAATGGTAAACATTGAATGAGGGTTTCAGTCCGTTTCCAGGTTCCTCGATCGAAATGTCTGCTCTGGTACATCATTGAAGCTTTAGTGTTCAGTTGTATGGCGTTTAAAGAATGAATAATACTAAATACAACTCTATGATCACTCATAAAAAACTCATAACTGGTATGCACTGATACTGAGTTTATGTTGATTGTAAGCAATAAATCAAGTATATTATTTCCCCTAGTCGGCCTTCGGACCTCTTGAACCTGTAATGGCATTGGACCATAATCACACAATCCTCAAAGCTGAACACGAGACAACTTGGAAAATAGATATTCAATACTTAACGCGGAGAAATACCTACCGCTGCAGAAGGCGGGAACTATGGGTTAAATGAGTTGGAGTTGGTCGAATGGCATGACTCGGCCTTGCAGGCGTGGACCATAATTCTACAAACCCGTCCCCTGCTGAAGTGATGTTCGGACGAAGCATCTGAACGAGATTCAACGCCATGTTACCTAAACCATTGGATGGACGCAGTAAATATCAGAATATCCATAATTTCAACGTGAGCGATAAAGTGTTCGTCGAGCCATGCATTGAGAAAAATCGTCGGGAATCGGGAGTCATAGAAAAGAGAATGGGAAATGTTTCGTACAAAGCACATGGAACTTTTGAATCATGGATTAGCAAATACACAGGGAAGAACGGACGCTAAACCCGGTAGGTAGTCGAGTTAATCTTCGATTGGAGATAATTACAGATACTCCAATAACAGGATTCCTAACAGATGCTCATAGACGCTGGATACCAATAAAGTCCAAACGCTGTAGAAAACCAGTTATCAAACTTCGGCTAGACCCGAAGAAGAGATCTTATTTTTCGAAAGAGTGAGGTGTTGGGGAGATCCAGAAAACTCTTCGAAAGAAGCCGAAAATGCTCTGAAAACATTGAGAAGCTTCTTATCCAATCAGCATTCATTAGAAGTTTCGCCAGAAACATCTATGAAGTGAAACGTCATATGTCAAGTTTTTGATTGGATGATTACCTATACTGCCACCACGTTTAGTGGAGTTCTAGAATTTCCCGGAATCCCCAGGCCACCTGGAACATTATAAAAACCCTAGATTTTCTGCATATAAGCGAACCTTTGGAGTAAAGCGTTTATTCTGTATTCAGTTCCTTTTTTCTTGTGTTCAAGTTGCTGTGTAGATCTAACCTGGGGTTACTAGAAGAGCTTAGGAACCGAATCTAGCATTCAGTTAGAAGACTTATCAGATACGTAACCAAAATTTGCCTGTATCAGTTACCTGCCTTTGTATATTTACGTCGACTAAGAGCAATAATTGCTAATGGTTGATGTTTTAAAGAGTCTAACACTGAAGCATGTAGATGTTAATAAAGCTCGTTACATAATCACCATAACTAATCCGCTCGTGAGTGGTCAGTTATTGGTATTGTTCGAGCTAGTAAACTGCGAGTATTAATCAATATCAAAATACAGTGCGCATGAGCATTATTCAGCAGATGAATATAAAAATGGTTCAACATAAGAAAGAATCAGTCTATAAAGTAGAAGTGAAAATGAGAATTGACAGCAAGTTGTGTTCCTTTAGTCGGTCCCACCGATATGGAATATTTATCTGTTTCGAAATAAGTATATTTACATTTGTTCATATAATGATAGACTAAATCCTAAAATAATAGATTACTCATGATATGAAGAATAACATTATTCGAATGCTTAGACATAAAAACTACTACTAAGCAGGATATAAAAGGACTAGCGACAACACATATGAGCAGTTCAAACAAACAAGGAACAGATGCACAAAGACTGTGAGAAAAGACAGGTCTCAGTATCGCATAAACCTGGTCGACAAACTAATCAACAATGAGATCTGCTAATTCCATCGTGTAGCCTCTATTCGACAACTTAAAACCAGAGTTTCCTAATTGTTGGGTCCCAATGACCAAACCTATAAAGACAGTAGCGCCGCCGACATTCTGACAGAACAACACTTTCAGACATTTGAACCGTCTCATACTAACCACGTCGACGAGAGCACCACTCGCGTCTCATCAAGATTCTCAGAAGTAGACCTGAGCGCCGACCTCGTGAATAAGAAACCGCAATAACTAGACAAGAACACATCACCCGGATCAGATAAGGTTCACTCTACTACACTGAGAGATTAGGTTTCAATCTCTAGCAACATCTCTACGCATGGTGTTCTAACATTCGCCAAGTTGAGGCACATTACCAGGAAATTGGAATCTGACTCACATTACACCAATTCTCAAAGAATATTGACGCAGGGAGCCTTCAACCTACCACGTGGTACCACTTTTCTCAATATCCTCAAAAATTATAGTGTCTAAAATGCGACGTTTCACGTGACTACATACTACTCACTCACTTCTTTTCATAGCAACAGCACAGTTTCAGAAAAGGTCACTCTTGTATAACCAACATGGTGACTGGGGTGGACAGATGGACAATCATCCTTGATCGCATGGGAAAGCTTGATGTCATATATTCTGACTTCTCTGAAGCTTTCGATATGGCCAATTATACATGTTTTGTCGATAAGCCCAAATAATTAGGTATCAAGTCATTTTTAATTGATTAACTTGCTTCATATCTCAATAATTGACATTTTGAGGTCAGGGTAATTTTCACTTTTTCTCAGGCTACAGAATGAGCTTGTGGGTTCCTTCTGATTTAGTGCTAGGACCTTTTCTTCTATTTATTGATACATATGACCCCCTCGACAAGTATCTTCCGATTCATTACTCTCGTTGATGATGTGGAACTGTGGAAATATGTAACCAGGAGGATAAGCTGGCACTACAGAAGGATCTGACTTGACTTCAAAGTGTAAGGCAGATCATCTGAAATATGTTAGCACCTTACGACCTGAAGTCTTACGCCAATCGTGACAAAAATATCTCCCGTGCAAACCTATCATTGGTAACACTGGAGCGCATTTTTGACCAGTCCGATGGAAGGACTTTCACATAGTTTTATTCATTCACATTTAGAATATGGAGACGTTGTATTTCATCCCTCACTCCAGAAGGATAAGGACACTCTGGAACATATCCGGCGTGAGCTACGAAATCGATTCGTGGACTCAAATTCAAGTGTTATGAAGGGGACTTTCAATCACTGAATCTTTACTCATTAGAGTACAGGGCTCTTAGAGATGATCTTGTAATGACTTAAAACCTCCTAAACACGTTTGGGCATCCCCTTAAACACCTACTTAAGCTTAGTTACGACATAAACCTTAGGGGTAACAACCAGAAACTGGAAACAACACAACAGAACGGAGTGTATGCACATCTTCTACTCCTCAAGGCTTGTAAAATTCCGGAATACTCTGCTGGGTGAGCTGGTGCAAGCTACTTTCCAGTAGTCCTTAAAAGAGAACATGATATATTCTGAAGGCCCACCAGTGTAGATCACCAACGTAGATGATCTATGTCGAAATGATTGGAGGCCTACTCGAGTTAGACGTGAATGGTGTGACAAACTAGCTAATGTCGAAGTCACACCTCGTGGTCAGCACCTTACGTGGACTGCCCCCATTGACGTATCAAGGTACCATAGATGCTCTGAAGTCTGTACAACACAGAGGACGTTATTACAGAAATATATTAGTTAAGGTAGATACAAACGAAAGTAAGACCACTGCCGCATGGGCCAGTCCATGGCATACGATTAACTAAATCGCGTTGGTTGTACATGACCTTGGCAGGGAGCGATGATCTGTTCGACATTCAGTGATCCAACTGCCGGATGATTTGGCTAGGGCTCAGTGGGGTGATCTTATCCGCAACGCAACCATGTAAACTTAGTGTATCGCACACTGTCCTTTGTGCGTTCAAGTAACCACAGATTTTGTCATTTCATAATGTATTTTTAATTAAATAACTAGATTATGTAGTTAATTCTTCTCTGTTTTTAATTTTTATTCGCCACATCTGACTGCGTTACACTGTACGTCCATTGCACGCTGAGTCATAGTGAGTTTATTCACATAGTTGATTGTTTCCAGATAGACTGTTAGTGCATGATTTTACTGAAGAAAGGTTTGTTGTACTGTAAACTATGTTTCTATGATCAACTCCCTGTTGTCTTCAGTATGAATTCATACTGAATACTGCTTTAAAGCAGTATATATGTATCCTTCTTTTTTTCTTAGGTAAGTTCAACTGGCCTATATTCCGTGTTTTGGTTTTATCGGCTGAAAAATGTCCATTTAACTACTTTGAGCAACATAACCGATTGTCGTTTGAAAACGTAAGGTCTTATGTTAGTACTATCCAGCTTAACTGAATAAATACAGTGACTTTATTAGCAGCAGGTAAAACCCAGAAAACAATGCAAAATCAGGAAAAACTTTGATCCAACGTTCAGAGTATTACACTAACTTCTGAATTCTAGCACAATGAAACATCAAATTCCGTAACTACACAAAAGAAATAGCGGAAAAAACACAGAACGAAGAAAGCCGACCGCCATTGCTTACAAAGATGGCAGATGTAATAATTCCCGCCTCATTCTGATTGGTTGCTAAGCTGAAGGGCACATTTACGAAATTGAGTTGCGTTTAATTGCAGCCGCTCAGTGACATTTCACTGGCCCTACAGGACAATATCTCACCATAATCTAATATTTCCCTCCTTTATAGTTAAATACACCTAGGTTCCTATCTCGCAGCACTGGTGATCAACTGTTATTAGATACGGAAGCTCGTTAAGGAAAAGTTTCTTCTATGCGGTGCAGAACCATTCGAGACAATTATTGGATATCGGACGGGCGGACGGTTTGGATATCGCTTGTTTTGATGGATGATGTACTTAAGCAGTTGGAAGATGCAGCTACTGCACAACTGGTAACATTTTGAGTCTATTATATTTTCAATAAAAGCTGTCGGTAAAGTCGGAAGATCGTAAACGAGCAGAAGAGAAGATTTTACAATTCCGTTCATGCTCTGAGCCTTACGAAATCTGCACTGTTATTTTAAGTGAGTTGTTTATTGGTTATGAGTGTGCCTAACATGTTTAAGCGTATTTTATTGACATGGGTAGTCTTAGCGTACATACTCCGCCCAAGTTTTGGTTCACAGTATCATAGAACGTCTTGGTCAACCGGATTGAATGCCCTTCTAAGGTCAGAAATTACATCCATAATGATCACTGGTAGCTAGGTCCGGATTCCAGAACTCAAGAACGGTTTACGTGTTCACGTCCAGATCTGGAGACAACCTGGTCCTCCTGGGGTCGCTCTCCACAAGCCCTAGTCAAGTAGTGGAGGACAATTTAATTTGTTCCTCGAAATACCGCTTTGTTTTAGTGACCTCATATGGGGGCAAAACTCTCGGTAATGGTTGCGTGAACCAGTGCTTTCGACTCCATCGCCAAACAGATCCTGGTAACTCTTCCATCATCAAGTGGGTTTTTGATTAGTGTGACAAGTTTTGAAATTTCTGTCATTATACAGTACCTATGAAGTATGTGGGTAATATGAATACTTAAGTACTAAGAAGCAGGTCGTTCATATAATCATGCCATGATAATTTTAAGAATATTTAATTTTTCATATCTTAGTTTCTCGCCTTTTTTATTCCTTCACAATAATAATACGATTCCTTGCTCTGGTGCTTTTGTTCTATCAATCAAATGCGTTTATTCTTAAACCAATGAGCTAGTGTTATTAGTATACATATGACTGTCGGATGTCGTATTCGCTTTTCGAATTTTTAAAGCTCGTTCAAATAATGATTGTCTGCTATATGAAGCTGGTCGATGTCTGTCCCATGCAGTGGTTAGAGAATGGAATTCTGTTTTCGCTTCGTCATTTGAAAGTGTAGATGGCTGTAAAGCACTGCAGCTTCTAACTTTTATCTTGGAATGGTCACAAAGTCGTGGATTCGAGGTAATTTCTTTAAATTTTTACACACCTCATACATCTGTGTATTTCAACGTTAATACACTCAATTTGTCAGTGCCGTTGTTGGTCGAATCTTGTTCGCTTGTAAGATATCTATACTTTGACCTTGTCGCTGAATGGTTCCGTAGTGGTACTCGGCCTTCAATCCGTAGGTTAGGTTTAAACTGTACTACACCTACTTTGGTCATGGTAGAGTAGTGTGAATATCCTTCACATAGACTGTTTTACTTTAAGTCACATACTCGAATCTGTACTTGGTATATCCCCTTTAACACTTCGGTTTCGCCCGTTTATTAGCGGTTAGGGCGTTCGACTTTTAGCCACGAAGTCTCATGTTCTTATTCCGCCCCACCTATTCATAGTATTCTAGAAGCCATAAATTAGAAATTAACTGCTGACCGGGATTGAAGCTCAACCCATCAGGCTATCTTAAGTCATTCATTTTCAAAGTAACTAAATGCAGGGTTCCCAGGAAGTTTACGAAGTTGGCAAAAAGAAAAGCAGATGTCCAGCGATTTACCAGGTCGGTGGATATATAGCTGATGTCAGTTCGTGATGAAAACAGTAAATTTAATTCCCAAACCTAACATTCAGTTGTGAATCCTAATCCTAGTTTCTCAAACTAATATATAACTCTCATTTAACCCTGGTAAGTATGTGGGCATCCCAAGGTCATGGGTTGTCCATAAATTATAGTCTTACCAAAAAGGTCCTCTGAGTATTAATTGAATGTAGGGGAACCGTCAAGTGAGTGATGTTGAAGCTAGACGTTAAGTTTATGGTGAATGATGTTGTTCTTTGTCTACTGATGTGCTTGCGCCATATGTCACGCATATTCAATCAATATGCTATGTTGCGTAGCTTATGAATAGCGTTGAAAGGTGAGTGGTAAATAAGCTGTCACTGCATAAGTCACTGACTACTAGTGCGAAATCGGTGGCAGTGGTTCATATTCAAATTCCTCTTAGCTTGTAAATCAGTATCATTCTACACTTTGATTTCCTTCGATCCCATTCGTCTTTCTGAAAATGTTTCTTACCCTTAATCTTAAAATACAATGCATATCTCTATCATATCTTCTCTGATTTTGATGTTGCTGACTCCTGCCTTGTTAATGTGTGGTGTGCGAACGTGAACCGAAACATCTATGAAAAGTCCTAGCTCAAAAGAAATAATGGTATCTTATCGATAATTTCAAGGGACGAATGTTACCGATATGGTCTATTTTGTGTCTATCATCAATTACAATGTCTTGTTAATGCCTTAAATTGATACTTGCTTAAAATAGGTGGTTTTATGAAGACGGTTGTGTTAGTCTCCAATGTCTTTCTTGGGTTGGAGTTTCAAAGACGCCACTCAATTATCTTTAAGCTTAACTTATTTAGTCATGTCTGTGTTTCTAGTCCTTTTAGGAATATTAAAAAGCTTTTAATTGAACCAGTCTCTTATTTCATTCAGACTACTCTTAGTGAAAGTCTAGATGAAGACTATAAACATATTGTGTGCATGCTACTTATGTTAGAGGTAGTAGTATGTAACGACAATCAGAACTGAAATGCCTGGCAGCAGAAGATTGAAAAGATCAAATTAGAGAGTACAGGAATGTAAACCGAGAGTAATTGTAATAACAACAGGACTGAATGAACCACGAAGTTTGTAAGAGATAACTGATGGGAGATGTGCAAATGAAGTGTTCAGTATATGGTTTTCATATATTGCGAAAACTAATTTTTCATTCAACGATAAATTTGTTTTCTCCCATCTGAGTTACCGTTCACTACAATATAACGGTGTATCTATATGTATCTGTTTGTAATACTAAGTGTGCTCTTATACTTGGCGCTGAGAATTCTATATTGTACCAAAAATATAATATTGAATAAAGCTAATAATAATAATAATAATAATAATAATAATAATAATAATAATAATAATAATAATAATTCTTGCTTTCATGATACAATAATGACGAAATGTCTTTTTCAGTGCGGTCCTGCTGCTCGTCAGCGAATTTTAAGTGCTGCTGGAGCACTCGTTAAAAGAGCTTCAGCAGCCCATGCCGAAAAAGTTGCTGCTGCCTGGAGATCTACAAAGGTCGATGAAAATGTCATTCATACAACTGGCCTAGGATCTCGAATACTTACCACACCACCAGATGATCCAGGACCTGCTTGTTGGTTATTGATTAAGTTGATTGAACACATCGAAGAGTTGATCCAGCCGCTTACACAATCAGACTTATCTGGCATAAATAACGATCAAGTATGTGGATTTCAAATAATTTGGTTTGTTTTTATGAAATTTGTTTTCTTATATGATTTCAGTTAGTTAATTTTGTGGCTTATTACAATCAAATGACAGTTCCATCCTTGTAAGCATAAGAATTAAAATGTTTTTATATTCAAAAATTCTGTCAAATTTTGTACGGAGTAGTCGTCGTCTGTTTGTTCAATTCATCTGATTTTTTCTCATGTTGTCTAGATTTTTAGCCGGCAGTGTGTGTGTGTTTAACTATTCGCTTTTTAAAAAAAACAATATCTCAAAGGTAGACAGAGGCGGAATCAAAAGAATCTTGATTTCTATGGAGATTCAGAGTGAATCTGTTTGTTATATCGGAAGTTACTTAATGTCTAAGGTGTTCGACTTCCAGCCACTCAGTCCCAGTTTCTAATTACACCCTACCTAATTCGGTTTATGAAACCATGTAGTATTTTTAACCCTCACATTTGGAGTGTGGTCCATACCTTAAGTACTTAATTTCAGTTCGATTTCTATCATCGGTTTATTCTAGTTTTTAAACCAATAAATAAGTCCATCACAAAATAAAAGTATTTAACTTTTTTAGATTGGATCTCTGCTAATATTTTTTTCTTGAAGTGGTACGCGACCATTAAAAATACAAAGAATCTGTGATTACAATCGCATCAGTTGATAAGGTATTCTCGCCCAGAAATGCAAACGTTTGTGGAGTTTCTGACTCCATTTCCAACGTTTTTTAGGTAAATGGAATCATCTCGTCACTTACCTAATTCTGTTAATTTAAGTTAAACTCCGACACACTATAATTGATGTGTCAATTCTTAATGTAGTTGATGTTAAAGTTACCCTATTTTGAATTTAGAAAAACCATTTTATGATCATCTGTCAATTAAGAGGTTGTTATTTAAGTTCACTGAAACTACAAAATGGCCTGTCAGTCGGGGTTCATGTGACTAGTATATTGCATCCCTATATTAATAATTCTCATCCTTTTGCATCATACTTTTCCTTTGTTATGGATTTTGAATTCTACCCTCTTTTTAGGAACCTATTTTTAAACGAGGATTATTAGGTCTGTTTATATTGTCTGCATTATTGGATGAATTTTCCTACTCCGAAGACAGTGCACAGCTGAATATGCCATTGGAAGCACATGTTTTCCTTCGAGCTAGATTTCAGGTATACCGATTTTTTTCTGTCAACAAACATTTTAAAAAAGTTTAGTCATTGTTCTTTCGGGAAAAATTTCTATTCATATGAATTCTATTTGCTGCTTATAAAATAAATCAAATTGTATGTTATTGATAATTTTGATGAATAGAGATCCTGGAGTGTCTAGTTCATTAATTGATTGTAGACCCTAACCACTAAAACTATGCTGTATATTGTGATAGGTCAACTGTTTTGAAAGTATCTACGTCTTCGTGTATTATTCTGTTTTGTTTAAAGATGGTTTGTTGATGAATATACTGGAATTGTATTCGCCTTAGTTTCAAATTATTCATAATTGAGCTTTTATTTCCAAGTGATTGGATCCAGAACCTCAGTTTATCCAACCATCTTTTTTACTTTGAATCTATATGTTTATCTCTAGTAATTCGAGCTTCTTTAAAACACCGAATATTGAAATGTGTTTATACTGGTATTCCTATTTATAATTTTTTATTAGGAATGTACATCTCGTCCGATAAACGATGGCAGGACAAGTAGTCCCCCTTCATTACTGGATTAATGTCTATCGACAATGTCATTCCATGTCGTAGAACTGGTCTAATTGTTGTTTAGTGTAAAGATAAATAGAGCGAAAAATATTTTTCAATTAGTTTCTCATGATGACTTCACACTCTATATATAATGACATGATAATACTAATTGCGAAATATTGTTATATAATAGCGTTACAGTTTCACAAGTGATTATGGTAGTAATTTTAAATGATCAACTAAGTAACTGAAAGAGGTAGGGTGAGACAATCATAATAATTCAAGTAATTAGTTGTGGGAGTTGTAAACATGTAGATCAGCGGCTGTCAGATTGTATTGTATATAATACGATAATCAACAACACACTTTGATGAAAATTGAATTTAATAGTAGTTACGTGAAAATAAAGATACAGAAATTAGAATTTTGTAGGAACACAAAAGTAAAAACATTTGACAAAGTAGGTTTGTTCACTCAATAATAGGCTTGTAAGCTCTATATAACTGGTTCCACAGGAGCAACTGATTTAATAAACATATAAGGATGTGGCGAATTCAGTCATTCTTTGTTGTTAGTACTCATCATCATCGGACAGTTATAGAAAATGGTATTCACTTTGACTGGCTGGCCAAAGGACAGCTAATAAAGATAACTGAGAGTTCTATTGTCGCTCACTCGGTGGATATTGGATATCGAGTTGACTTGAATAAAGTTCGTAAAGTTATCCACTGTATTCCATCAAGTTTATCACTTGGTTTACGAGTTCATCTTTTACACACCACTGAAGTTACCGCATTCTAACACTGTTCTTCACTGTTTAATCTTTCTTACTATTATTGATTCTAGCACTATTTCGACTCTTCTGCTATTCATTTTCTTATCCTGCCGCGGTATAGGAACTTGAACTGACGCACATTTGTTCTAGACTGTTTGTCAATTATGACCAACTGAATATCGTTAAGATTCGTAATAAGTGTAACCCTGTTTTGTGCAAACTTTCACATATTTACTGATTCCTACAGCAAGTAAACTCCGTTCTATACATAGCTGATAGATTTAATTGTATATTCAGTTTCGTTTTTCCCTGTAAACAATTGTTCAGTCTCACTTGTGTATATGTAATTATTGTTTTACCCTGTACTTTTTACCATCAGGACTATGAACTAGTACGATTATTTAAAAATTTACTTTGCTTAGCAAATCAACTGTTAGTTTATTGGTCATCGCTGGATTGTTCAGCATTAAGTCAAGGACAAAGTGAAGTTGTATTCAGAGTAATAAGTTGCCTGGATATGATTACAGGTTGGGATTTCTTACCACGTGAACGTGAGTTTATTGTGCTATATTAATTTTAGATTTTATAAGTATTCAGAATAACGTGGAGTATATGTATACGGTAGTATTGTAATGAAAGTTGCCCCATTTATTAGATGTCAGTTAGTCATTTATGATTAGAGTAGCTTGGATGATGGGTCAGAAAAGATGAGTGAAAAATGTATACGTATACTAACAACATGTCTTGTGTTGAATCTGCTTTAAGAATCAAGTATCAGTCAGTCAGTCAGCTACAACGTAGGACCAGGCACATATATACATCAGTCCAAGTTGCCATACCTCGTTAGCACAACAAAGTGAACACTGGATTCATAGAAGTAGTTAATTCAGTGGTGGTAATATATAAAAGAAACATTGCGCATAACGACAGTACAGGAAGAAAGAACTAGTTCGTAGAAAGATATGAAGCGATTTTAATCTCATAGTTTAAAGGAAGACAGAGTGTGTATACACCTACGCCATTGTGATTGATTCTGAGCCATGTTACCCAGAGTCTCCAACCATTGATTACGATAGTCACGCGGACCCCAACCAAATAGTCTGCATCTCCCGACATGGCTCAGACTAGAGTTTGGTGACTTTGCAGGCTGATGCCACGTTTTGGTTTGGCCACCCCTAACTTTCTTCCAACCGTCTCCAACACTAGTCAGCATTGCGCGTCGTGGTAGTCGGTGGTTGGACATGCGTAGTATGTGGCCCAACCATTTCAGTTGATGATGATTCATAACCTCATCAACTGATTTACCATCATTCCCTTATACCCTACGTCTAACCCCACTATTACTTACCCTGTGATATCAGCAGATGCCAGTAATATTTCTAAGACATCTGTGAATCAAGCATGTCACAAAATCTATCATAAGCTCTAATTATCGAAACTGGCATTGAAATATTTCATAAATTTGCATTGTGTCTTACTCTAATTTTAATAAAATTTCTCACACATTATACTACTGCAGTCTTAATTGTTATTTACAATGTTTCAAACCAACTTTACTCTTATAGGATTTATAACCCATCCTAACGACTAGTTTGTCTCTAAACTTCAGAGTTCGATTAAAATCAGGAATCATAACATCTAGTTGCTATTTAACACAAACTCCAGAGTTGATGAACTTCACATGTCAATATTTGTTTATCTAACACATTTTATCTACTCAATATTTTCCTCACAATTTCTAGTTTTCAGCATAAATTCTTAATTTTCTTATTTACTCCAAATTTTCACAAATTTTTGTACTCATCTCATATATTTTCAGGTTCTCAAGTATTTTCTTTATGCGTTTTCTATCTTTTTTTCTCTCAGTTATTCGTTTTCATGCCAGTCAATTAAGACGTTCTGATCAAGAAGCTCGTTTTCGTCCTAGTGATAAATGGAGTGATACGATGGGAACAGATGCCTTTCCGAGGACTTTATTACTATTTATTAAAGTAGGTAAACCGTTTTACTATGCTGAATAATATTCTGTAAGATTTACTTACTTTGCTCTCGTCATCTGACGAAATTAAGCTTACACTTTATACGTACATATTCAGCAATTTTCCCATGGACATAAAAAAATTTATTGTTCTGTCACATTCTCACTTCATAGTTTATCTTTTTTTCCCCAAGTGAATTTCATATTAACGTGAAAGTTAAAATAATCCATTGTGTCATTGAATAAAAATAAAGAGAATTCAACAAAGAGTTTTCTTTTCGACGAAATCATTTTCTTCACTGAGTTCTCCTTATTTTTATTCAACGTGAAAGTGTTCATTACAGTTTTCATCCATTGCGATCTGTCGACAATAAATGTAATTTGGTAACATTTTAGGCTTGTATACTGAGATATATTAGTATCTAGGTTACTTGTGGAGAGGTTTTTAGTTTAATTGTCATCATGACCTTGATACATCCTCACTATGAAATCCTCTATTTGTGTTCTCATTTCTTAAAACTCACCCCTTCCTTCAATAAAAGATCAAAGTTCCAAATCTTTAACTCAGCACTAGTTCCATATATATATATATGACTGTCCTATAAGTTTAATTCATGAATAATAGTAGTGGTAGTAGTAATTCATTGTCTTATTTTCAGAACAAGTGTTTACAAGTAGATCTTCACCGTTCATTTTTCTATTTTATTGAGAATGCAGATGTTAATGACTACTTAATATAGTGATTTGATTAATGAAAATATTTATGCATATTATTTGCTGAACGAATGGCAGATCATTATAACCAAATAAGTAAAAAGCCTGGAAATCTTCTATGGCAATTCATTAGCATACTGGATACCTCTTCGACATTTCAAATGATGTATATTGAAATACTGTAACAATAAGGACATCCATTCTACTCTGTAGATTGTAAAAAACCCTCAAAAGACTGACTTGTGTGGTGTGGACTTGTTTTTTGGTCAGATCTTGTGCGTATTGATTACATATCTACTCTCCACTAAATGCAGGCCAACATATGTCGTCCCAGGAGCTTCGACACTGAGACTGAATGAAAAAAGCAAAGACGCGGTCATTTTATGATATGGTGCTGTATTATGAAGGGAAGTTGTATGAGAATAGGATCTGTCGTTTCATTATGACTCCCCGGTTGAGGTCTTAGAGATAATGAAACTTCAGTTGCTTGAAGCGTTATTAGATGTGGCTCGAAATAGGAAACTGGCGGCTATCTTTCTGTACTGTATCTTTAACTGATCTGTATCTCTTAATGAGTGTTATTCCTATTCATTTGCTTACTGATTTTACTGCTGTTTTCTCTTTTACTCTTTCGCAATGTTATCTGTTTATTTGCATAGTGTATTTTTCGAGAGCTCTTGGATCAATCAGAAGTGATCCAAAGGACTAGTGCCTATCATTGGCTAAGAAATGGATTGATTTTCTAAGGTTTATATATATGAGTATTTGTGCATATTATTCGATAGCCCAGTATGCTTTCTCATCCTCTCTTGTGTTCTCACTCAAGTGATCAGGTGCGTTGCTGGGGGTTAGCGTTTAGCACATTTTATATCAATATCAGATTTCGGACACCCCTCATAATGACAGTTCAATTTTACCAGAATGTATAATGATTTAAATAAATAAATGGATATGTGGACACAATTTGACAAACAATTAACACTTAACTTATGACTGACAAGTTGAATGCTGAACATATGGTGGACTCCACTATTAGTAACTAAATTAAAAAAGTTGTTACGCTTGTTTTTGAGTAACTTTTTTAACTAACGCACATCATTGTCTATTTATGCCATTCTACTTGGTTAATTCTTATACTTTCTCATCAGTTACACACATGGGTTCGCGGTTCAGATCTGCTTGGTGCACGAACATTGTCATGTTTAGTTCGCTTCTCTTTAATGTCTGGCCCTCTGATTTATCCAATTTCTTCATTAACTTGTATAAATAATAATTCATCTTACCACAATGGAATTTCTTCATCAAATTATAATGAAAATCAATCACTGGGTTCACCAAGTACAATGCATTACCTAATACTGATTGAAAATTTAAATTGTTGGCTAGGAAAAGAAATACCTATGGAAGATCCCATACAACTATCATTCGAGTCGCTCACAGATCAAATACCAGGAATACGTAATGAAATATCTAATCGAATAGCAGATAGTCGTTCAATTCCAAGTATAACATTAGAAAATTTATTACCATATGAGTTATCTATCTTATCTGAATTCATACTTAATTTAATGTTGAATAGTTCACGTGCATGGGAACCTGTTGAACGAGTTTTATCATTGCCTAAATTCAGCTCACAAGAATCTTTATCCAGTGAAATATGCCAGTCTATGTTTCATATTGGTTTAATTAGTTTATGGGTGATGGATAAATTCTTTGCTTTTCTTTCTTCCCTATTAATACAGGTTGGTTTTTCTATGTATTATAGTTTTTTATTTATTTATTACTAACAAGTTACTTGCCTTCTATTTGTGTATATATGAATAAAGATAAATAGGTAGGATAAAATTTAATTTATTGAGGTGCAGTAATCGAAAATATTCTCAAATAAGGAAACACAGGGAGAGCTCTTTTATTTTTTCAACTTTACTAATGGTAAATAATGTGAGCCCTTGATTTTCTTCAAGTCAGTCAGTCAGTCAGCTACAACGTAGGACCAGGCACATATGTACATCGGTCCAGGTTGCCATACCTCATTAGCACAACAAGATGAACACCGGATTCATAGGAGTGGTTAGGTCAAAGGTTGCAATAAGGATATAGTATAGGAAGGAAGAATTAGTTCGTAGAAAGAAAGATATGAAGTGATTTTAATCTCTTAGTTTAAGGGAAGACAAAGAGTGTATACACCGACGCCATTGTGACCGATTCTGAGCCATGTCACCAAGAGTCTCCAACCATTGGTTACGAAAGTCACGCGGACCCCAACCAAGTAGTCTGCATCTACCAACATAGCTAAGACTAGAAGTTAGTGACTTCAAGCACTGATGCCACGTTTTGGTTTGGCCGATTTTCTTCAAAGTAATAAAATAACCATTACATCATTTATCTAATATCTGGTTCAGTTATTAGTATAACCCAACGTTATTGTTATCTTTAGTAATAGTACTGTAGTGAACAAGAACATGAGTGGGGACAGTTGAATGTATTTTGACACGAAATCACAGAGCATCTCACTCAAATCTGAGAGCCATATAGTAAATAGTTAAATTGCAAAATATCAATCCATCGTCTCAAACTTCACTATCCCTTTGCAAATATCAGTCCGTTGTCTCAGATTTCATTGTTCATGCATTTTTGTACCGATTACGTTCCGTTTCCGTTCTTTTCTTATCGATCTTCTGCTAAAATACACTCTATGCCTGACCACCGTTATATACTACTGATATGGATATAAGTAATCCACACCACAGTACCATTTAAATTTGTCATCCTAAGTGAATCAACAAGATACTGATTTTTAAGTTGTGGTACAACTGTCCCATTGTAATGTCTTATTATACATGAGGCTTGGACCAACCATATAGTTCAGTTTGGTGAATAATAATTTACTAGTTACTGGCAATTAATTTGAAGACAGAAAAATTGTTGCTCCTACTATTGATGTTATCATTTCTGGAGTTGCCTCGAAAAATCTGTACTAAATTACCAATCAGTTCAGTCTTTTTAATTGCTCAATATTTAGAATTTTTTAAAATGAGTTGTTTCTACAATTGTCCACTTGATAATCTTTATTTATATATTGCTACTTACCATCTGTCTTCCAGTGTATACGAATACAGACAGAATGTTCCACAGATGGAGATGATAATGGTCAGTTAGCTCATGAAGCTGTTGAACGTTTATTCAACTGTTGGAGTGATCTTCTTGATTTAATCCCATCATCGTTAAGTGAACAGGCACGATCTCAAAAGAATCACAATCTAACAACAATTGGTTCTACTGATGAAGATAATTCACCGTTGCCTTTAACTACTGGACAAGTACAAAACTCTGGTAATTCTTACATTGTTTATGTTATCTAGTTATACATCGTTTCGTTTTGATTAAATTTGATGTATTTTGGTTTTATTTCCAGTTTAATCCATGTCTCGTGATAGTATGTGAAATAAAGATGATTGAAATAGCGAAACCTGGGGGGGGGGGAGGTTGTTGAAATCAAACTCGCGATTTTCTGCTTTATTGATATTGTGGTTGAAAATAGAATCACTCGACGGACTACAGTTTTAATAAGTATACATTTTTTGATGGTATAGATGTCTCAATATCTTACCATTTAGGTATGGTCAAACGGATAATGGGTACATCAAGCAGTAATAATGTAACCAAGGTAAACAAGACAATTGTACAGTTACTCATAAGCAATATACTTAAGCAACACAAATCTGACATTGTGTAGTGTGGTTAGCTTTTCCATCTTGCTTAATTCATACAAGAAGTTCGTCGTCTGGCCATATATTGTACATATACAAACTATTTTAATTGTCACTGGATTTCTGTCTCTAAGTTTACTGGCTATTTATTCGTTTAACTACAATAAAAAACGAGTAGCGCTTCCAAGATATCAGTGACACAAAACACTTTATGTAGTCTTCTAAGTGTAGATACTTTAGGTTTAAGAACAAGAATATATTACTTTATTGTTTTCAAACTTTCAACCGCCACGTTGGAAGTTTGAATGAGAGAAGTAAATTGTTTGTCTACCTGTAATATGTTTTCTCGAATTTTCAACAATATCTGTTTGTTTTACATATTTGACTATAGACCAGTTGGCTCAGAAAATGAAAAAGCTACTTGGATTGTTACGAAGTAGTAATTCATCACGACAATCACAATTATTCCAATTTTTCCTTGCATCCAAAATGGTTCAACCGGTTGGTTTACGTCGAACTTGCAGTCATGATAATAATGAAGAGATAGATCTTGAATTGGATGAAGATGATATGACTTCTTCAGAGGTAGCTGGTTTGAATCTCGGTGTTAGCATTTTATTCTCTTTGAGGATAGCATTTTAGAGTTGATTAATCATTGAAGTTTTATAGGAGTTGTCTTAATCTATTCAACAACCATGTTTCACCAATACATATCTAGTTATCCTTTCAAGGCTAACCAAACAAAATATTTTCATTGCTTGGTGTTCACGTTAGCAAACTCTTTCCGAATTCTGAAAATGATCCTAATACAAGTTTTAACGATTATTACAATGACAAGTCCTAATAAAGTGAACTAACTGTTTAGTATACAATAATTTATATTGATTATCCAAATATTGCTGGTTTATAGCAGAAACAATCACCAATCTGTTTTCTTAAAAAAAAGGTTTTGTCACTTGTTGCAATTTCTCAAGGAATTCACAAATTAACCTTTTAACCTTCTACATTTTTTTTTGTAACATGTGATTCTCGATTAAATGGATCAACTTGAGTACTTGTGTTACTGAATTATAGCAGTAGTTGTTATCTGTTTAATTGCTAGTTTATTGTTTTGCATTACCTCAGTCTATTAGTCAGTCAGTCGTACACAATGTAAAACCTGACACATTTGTATATCGGTTGAAGTTGTTGTAACCAAATTAACACAACGGACTAAAGTTTTTTCGAGACAAATCCCAGAGCAATAAGAATTGTAACAATATTAGTAATGTTAGAGGAGATTAGGTAAAGAAAAAGGAAAAAAGTATGAAGAAATCTCGGGATTCAAATGTTCTTTTGCCTTCCTATTTTCCTTTTCCATTCATAACGCTAAGTTAAGGCTTGCCTCATGATGTCCTCTACACCTCCATCGTCTTTTTCTAGTTTCCTCTTCATCTGGAAGTTGGTTTGTAATCTCCTACATTAGGCTGTTGCTCATGCTATCTATTCAATGGACATCTAGTATATAAATAAATTTATAAATACTTATGCCTTTTTGAAGATGGTTATGGTGGTTCACCAAGTTTCAGCTCCATACAGTAGAACTGTCTTGACGTTAGTATTGAAGATTGTGACTTTGATGTTAGTTGACAGTTGTTTTTAGTTCTATGTGTTGTTCAACCGTAGGAATGCTGTCCTTGGTATGGCAATCCTCGCATTTACTTCTGCATCAAATCCTCCACGTTCATCTATGATGCTACCGAGATACGTGAATCTTTCGACTTCCAGTGTTTCTCCATCAAGTCTAACTGGGTTGGTGTTCTCTGTGTTGTATTTGAGGATCTTGGCTTTTCTATTGTGTATGTTGAAGCCTTCTGCTGAAGATGCTGCTGCTACACTAGTTGTTTTCATCTTCATTTGTTCGTGTGTATGAAGTTCAAATCCTTTAGTTACATTCAAATTGTCAATTGTTTTCCGTGCTTCTCTTCAGATGTGGAGGTTTTCATGATACAGTCAGCCACCAGAAGAAAGAAAAGGGGAGAGATTAGGCAGCCTTGATTGAATTCGGTTCTATATATATATAATAATTATTATTATCCTATATTATATCTGTGTACATTTTCATTCATTTTATTCAGGATAGTTTATTCGCTGTAGGATCTTGTGGTTTATCTACTCCTGAAGAATCAGTCACTACACTTGTTCGTTTAATAAATGAACGTGTTACCCAATTGATTCAATTACAAAGCTGTGAATCTTTAAAATCAATTGATTTATTCGAAGATATTCATTGGTTATTATTGATTAGTGGACATTTTCTTGTCTCTGGTCCTGCATCATTAACAAGTGTTCTACGAATGGGTTCTCCATGGGATACACAATTCTCAGTAAGTTTGTTTAACAGTTTTTATCATCATTATTACTATATACTATATAGTATTAATTAAATTATGAAATTCAATTCAAGTACATTCATTAAGTGTGACTTTGTAAAAAGTCTAAAAATACCTTATTCATATTTCCTTTTTACTAACAAATTGGTTTAACTAATCCTACCGGGTTTCTAACTTTTAAGTTGGTTAATAATATTGAATTGAATTTCAATTTATATCAATTATTAATCTGTACAAGATTTACTTAAGATCAGTATAGGGTTGTGGAGATTATTAAGTTTTTGGTTGAGATCATGAACTGATTGATGTCAGACCACCATTAAAAACCTGGAAGCACTGGATAACCGTTTCGTCCTATCGTGGAGCTCCTCAGCCATGCGCATCCACGATTCTGCTCGCTGGATTCGAACCCAGGACCTTCCGTCTCGCGCCCGAACGCATAGCCTCTAAGATATAGATACGCTTGATAGAACTATCAAACTTTACCTACTTGACATGTATATCGTATTTTATGTATAAACAATTGATATTCTCTTGTTTATTTATTTTTTATTTAATTTTGTTCAGATACCTCATCAAATTTTATATCTTGGTTCTAACGATACAGTCGATGTGATAAATAGTCGTCGTTTAATATTAATGTCTATTGCACAATGTCCTGATATGAATAGTAGTTGGCCTCCAGACAATTTACCATATACACATATTCCTTCTTTAATAATGTATGTTTCATTTGTGTTTTTTTTCATAAATACTTTTATTTTGAAAGAAAGAAAAGGACATTTTTATTATTCCTCACTGAATGTTTAACGAATTTTTTAAACAGTTGATGTTAGAATCAAGGAAATTAACAATACAATTTAGGAAACCAAGTTATCTTAAACATATATATGCTTGCCCCCCCCCTTCAAGCCAAACAAATTGGTGAAGCCTAGTAGGCCCTTATGGAGAGAAAACAGGCCACATCGAAACACGGCACAACTACCGGGGCTAGAATAGCTGTTTTTGCAACCAGTTAGAGTTTGCCCCGTAAGGAGCAACCCCGTGCATTACTTGCATCACTTTTGTCAAATTTTTGTCGTTTCTCCATCCAAGAGTAATTATGCTGTGTTTCTTTGTGGAGTTCGTAATCGGTTTGGGCGTATCGGTTGAGTGGGTGATTAGCCTGACCTCTATCACCCGGGTTACCGCTCACGTTAGTTCATGGGTCATCCGTTCCACGATCCAAGAGGCACGACACGGACGTGTGAGCCGAATTTCGCTTCCCATATATATGCTTACTTATGCATATTCATTCACTTATATTATTAATCATATAAGTGATTTAATTACTTTAAAAAATATTTCCTCATTCCATGAATTCATATTTGCTTTTAAAATAATCTTTTCTGTGCTCTGATCGTTTCTACTATCACTAATACTATTACTGCTCAGATCACTTTGATATCTTGATGTTTTGATACAATGCGGCAACTTGAATCGACGCACATATATCTCAGCTTCTACGTTCTTTATGTTTAACTGACATAATATTCTCTAATTTTCTTTTATAATAGAGTATTATTACATCACAGCAGCAGTAAAAAAAGATTGTACAATGGTTTCATCTATCCATTTATAGCTGTCATACTGGCTAGAAATTCTCGCATAGTTATCAGCTTGTAAATTCAGTAGCTCTGAAATGATATCCAATCTAAATTTAATTGATAGAATACTTAAGATCTTGCCATTATTACCTAAATGGTACTCATTCCTTATAGACAGAAAAGCAAAACAATATCGTAAACATGAATAACTAGTTTATCAATTTAGTTTGTCCTACTAATTATGTCTAGTTTTAATCGATTCACAATATTGCACAACCGTCATTCTTGAGATAATTTTTCTTCATACTTTACATAACCGAACTTCACTGATCTCAGTGTGTACATCATTAGATGTCGGCTCTGTCGTCTAAAGATTAGGCGTTCATTAATTTTACCGAAGGTTCTGAGTCCAATTTTCCGGACGCGAGGTCGTAGACAGGCACTATTGAGTTGTCTCATACTAGAACAAGACGGCCGTCCACGTTTAGAATGGTGGTCTAAGATCAGTTCGTCATGTAAACTATGGAAATTCTACAATCTCCACAAATCTCTCTCTCCATATATATATGTAATATTACTTATTTATTTTAACACATGGATATTGGTACAAAGAGACACCAAATACATATGCGCCACACAGATCTCGTTTGATATGTGTGAGGGCTGTGATACCGTCCGGGTGCCCAAATCGAAGCAGGAATATATATATATATATATATATAATTAAGAAAAGCGTCTTTTTAACCAATAGTTTTTGTGTTTCAAAGTTATGAACAATTTGTTGTCTCATAAAATTATAAATTTCGCATTCAAGTTAGATTCGAATACAACGATTAAACTAGCTGTGCTAAGGAGACTGAAGATTTAATTCGACTAGCAGATTTTGAGTCATTATGTTACGAAATTAGTAACTGGGACCTCTATTAACTCCGCAGCAGTAAATCTGGTTAATCTTATCTCGAAATGATTTGCTTCACTTGACAAATATCTTTTTTCTCATGTTTTATTAATACAAATATTTATAATAGCCCATTGTATCGGCCTAGTTATATGCGATGATAATGTGTGAGTTAGACTGAATATTTTCTAAGTGATTAACATAAACTATCCATCCTTTTAAATGGTTAAATTGGATAGTGTTAGTTAAAGGCATTGTTTCATAGTTCAACTTCTCTAGGGCTGAATTTCATTAGTTTGTTTGTTAATGAAATAAACCAGACTCTATGAACCAAATGAAATTATGTTTTTCGTTTTGTTTTGTCTCTTTTCTCTTCCAGTTTGTTATGTTCTCTCTTCCGTCTATTATGGTTACAAGTTGCTTATGGTGTTGGGAGTGCTCAATTGGTTACGGATAATTTTTGGTTAATGACACGTTTAGCTGTCACATATTTCTGCCATAATGTAGTCGATCGGGATACATTAATGGTTAGTATATTGAATTGTTGTATCTCTGCTGACAGATTTATTGAAATCTGTAGTTCAATATCATTAATTAGTTTATTCATTGCAGTCGATTGATCTGATAACTTGATCTCTAGGTTTTGTTTGTAAAATTTTGATGCCGTATTGTTTATTGAGGTTTCTGGTCAGTTTACCTACTGACTGGCTTGGTTTCTTGAATTATTTAGCATTCTATGCATCTTTTTCTATTTTCCTCATTGAAGTATACAGTCAAATAAGATTTGATATGACGGATAGATTTAAATGTTTTTATTTGCGTTATACTACGTTCCTATGATAGTACGGTAATAAGATTAGGCTGAATGATCGAGTTTATAGTACTGCTAGATCGGATGCTCGAACGGTCCGCTATGCACTGTTGTAACGTGTGGATTGCAGGTTAGATGCGCAGCGTTTTATTGATCGATTCAGTGACACGGAAAACACGTACGGACGGCTTAGAGTCTCGATTGGTCCCGCTTCCCTGTCTAGCCTAGCCAGTTGAGTCCAGAACACAAGTCTTAGCCTCTGAGATATGAATCATTATATTTCAGACACACACTATTTATATACTAATCAACCAGACCACATCGTACCATAAAATAGAAAACAACATTTGTACAGTATTTAACAAGTGAAATGAACATCGACCAATAGGGAGTGTACATTTAAAGTCCAAGGCCACCATTACACTTAACATGATAATTATTGGTATATTTTTCTGCACATCCTAACAGCACAGACTAGATCTCGCTATATCAGATACACGATTCACGACCAAAAATAGAGTGTCAGAGTACAAACTAGACACTAATTTATTCCACACAATTACAAGCAATCACTCCCAGTAAGTTCAGAGTAGAAATCAATAAGAGGAAAGGAAATCGCACATTTAATAGCCAGTAAGCTGCGTTCCTCTTTGTCCACACTCAGTGACTAATCACATTTACTCTCACTACCAAATATTATGGATAAATTGCTATTATTTCCTTTTTGGAATTTTATGCTACTCATGTTCTGTAGTTTATCATTAGTCTTTCATTAATTTTCAAAAAAATCATGTTAACTCATCAACTTTATCAACAGGTTTATGTACTGAAGTTTGGAAGTTAGTGAAACTAACCGTCCGTCTAGACCGAACTAGTTGAAATTGTTTTTGAACCTGAAACCTATAACTCAGAAACCGATTGCTTTGATACTACTAGACCATCGTGGCAGGGTGTTGTTTACGAAAGTTGATAGAAGAAGCGAGAATGTTTAGTGCTTAAACTGAGTTAGTTGTGGATACACAGGATTCATCTTTGGGAGTTGGAAAATCTTTACTATAAGGACCAATGTTGTGCATTAGTTCCTGTATCCTGAAGGGCCGAATAACAGATGAACCTATTTTTAGTCACTGACTACCATCTCGTGATCTCACTCCACTCCGTTATGGATTTTACATCTACGTAAAAGGCTCGAAGTGGCGTTCTGAAGAAACCACCCACTTCGGTTTGGGTACCTGGGCAGTATCCTATTCATCAAACAAATTTTATTACTATGAATATGTGGCCCGTACTACTTTTGGTGCTCATTTGTACCAGTTTCTCATGTGGATGAAATACGTAAATAAAAGGTATCATAGCGATATTTTAATTCATTCATGAAATATTAAGTTTTAATTCCCTTTATCAATGTTATTTATTTGTTATAATCTGTTACAGTCTAATATTTCTCGATCACCGATCATGACAATACTTCAAGCTGAATCTGTTCACCCATTACCAGCACATCAAGGTGTATTTTTGTCAAATAAAACATATAACGGAGAAAATCAACTTTCAGAGAGAAAAGAAAATCTATTGCCAGAAAGTTGTAATGATATAAATCGAGTTTGTATTCAAGGTTTATTAATGTGTGTACGTTTAGCATTAGATAAATGGTCACACGAACCCCAAGCACTAAGTTCACTAACGCGACTATTGAGTGTGCTCAGTATGCATTCACCTAATTCGTAAGTGTCACTACTTTTTATGGACTGTTTTTTAATGCTGTTTACACTTACTAATCAAGAAAGTCAATCAAACCTTTGTCGAGTTTCGTTCTTCGACCCAGTATTCTTCTTTTGCTCATTATTCCTCGAACACTTTACTTCACTCTACCCGTTCCCGAATTCAAACATGGCTCTGACAAGAAATTGATTATCTTCTAAATAGAACAAGTTAAACTAAGATCATTCTATAAGAATATGTTAATGTATTTATAATTTTTAAACAGGAAGACTCTAGGGTCTTCGCTTATCCGCTGTAGTTGGCGGGTTAAAAATAGGTCAGTCAATGTGTTACAACGTGGTCCTGTCTGGAACATACTTTAGTTAAGCCTCTGTCTTACCAATTCCTCCATTTGAGCAGATTCATGGGATCTGTTGTTAAGGTCATCTTGGATCAAAGTAAAGAGTTTGTGCCTTCAAAATGTCCACCTTCCAGGCAATAAGGAAGTGGTATCATCCTTTTTGTTTTCAAGGATTGGCTTCACAGTTTCCAGATATTTCGATCTCGAAGGTGTCTAACAGAATATCATTAGGTTTTCTAGGTCGGTTCTCGTTGTTCGTTATCGAAATTGCTTTAATTTGCTTTCCATTACGTATCAAATATTATATACGTATTAACTATATCCATTAATCGTTTTCATTTTTGTATTTTCACTAAGCTTCAAATCTGTTTTTCAATCTCATTGCACTAAGCACTTATTCGCAAGCTTTTGTAATAAGCTAAAATATCTACAATAACCAAGCTTTATATTGCGTTTCACCAAACTTTTTTTTGTAAACTAATGTAGTGTTGAATTAAATAGTAACTAGAATGGATAAATCCCTGTACATACCAAGGATGATAGGAAATAATATCTTCGCTTGACAAGATGAAAATACTGATAGTCAATATTTCATTCGACTATTTTAATGTTGTTTTATTGTGATCTTAAACTAAAATATTTGTGTTATTTCACATATATTTACCTCCAAAGAGGTCATACATAAAGAGCTACTGAACAGTTATTTCTGTTTTCACAGTTCTCTCACTAGTTACTAAGCAGATTTCAGTTCGTTCTTTTTTTAAAAAAGGGATTGAATAATAATCACTAGCTTATCTAATTTAAATTTCAATGGTTCAAAGCAATTTTGATAAATTGATAGTGAATTTTTACCTTTACTATTTCTTTTAACCCTCAGAATATATAAATCCCATAATCGAATATCAAATAATCGAAAATCTCGTCTTAATATTGATCTATTCGAAAATACTATCGACTTGAACATATCAAGAACTAACTAATAATTGTTTCTCCCTAGTTCAATATTCTTATTCTCTAATAAAAAGACTATTTTATCCTGACAAAGCATTATTTTTGCTGTATAGAGGAGGTTATATTGCTTGTCGCATGTTAAGGAAAGATCAAATGACCCATTTCTGTATGGATTGTTACATTATTCTGTTGCAGCCAGTCCATTTTTTTCAGTTAAGTTTGTGTCGTCCAGTGTATGTTTCTAATTGTTTATTTGGTCAAATGTATGATGATATAGTCAGTAAGGTAGGTGGTTGGAGGTAGTCAATAGTATACTCTGAACCTAGGTTTCATGCTATTCGGCACTTATCGGCGAGGTATACCTTTAATCTTGAGGGAACTGATGCTCTTTAGCAGATTCGATCTTATGTCAGCCAGGTTCATAGTTAGAGACGTTGCCATTGAACTATTCGGGCGCAACTGACCTGTAGGGTTAGTGTATTCGGTAATAGTAGTAGTAGTTTCCCTGTAATGATTTAACTAAAATTAAAAGCCCTAATGGTTACTCTATTCATTCGTTTTTTTTCTTGAGTTAGATCATCTGATTTAGCTTGTTCCGCGTGGTATGACATATGTACGCTTGTCGCTGGTCCTCAGGCTTCAGAACACACATGGCCTAATTTGTCGACAGATAGTTTAATTCAATTAGTTGAAGCCTGTTTATGCGGCAGTTGGGGAATTGATAAAACAAAACTATCATCATCGGCATTAGTTCAGCAGCAGCATCAAAGTAATGAAGATGTCTCCGATACATTGCTACTACAGGTATATGTTTTGTTCTGTTTAGTTTTACGGTTATTTCTGTAGTTAGGTTGACTCTCTGAATATAAATCAATATTAAATGATAAGTTTATAAATCAAACTTACGATGACATAACCGTTGTTTTCGTTTTTCGTAGGTTGTGTATTGTATATGACATGGCTGGCTTCAGCGAATGTAACACTTTAGTTATGTATCATAATTATTTGTTCATAGGGTCGTAGTGGTTTATATTCGAGATAATTCCCAAGTCTTCGTATATCTCTCGTCCCGATAGTGGTTATAAAATAACTCCCAATGGTGTATAAATTTCAGAAGACAATACAAAGCTTGGACTACAGTTCATTATTGTAGAGAGCAGATCGCAAAGCTACAAGCACACAAAACAAATTTGAGTAGAAACGTGAATAGTAGCGGATTAGGACGAATGCATTGATAAAATTTAAGAGAGAGAGAGAGAGAGCCATATATAGGTAAGAGAATGATTCATCGAGCTATTAAGTAATAAGAGGGATTTGTGTAAGCTGTAACACGTGACTAAGGCTACACTCTCATGCACTCACGATAATAATAATAATAATAATAATGTTAAAATATAGACATATCGTTACTGTCCTGATGACACTATCTGTTAAGTACGTTAATTGAAGGGCTTAACAAGATCGAACGTATACAAGCTCAAGTGTTAGTGAGGTGCTATAGTGTTTCACCTGCAGCTTATACACACGTTTTGTTTAATCCACAGTTGAGTTGTTTTTGTAAGCAGTTAAACAAGTGATAATAATCTCAACGAGATAAGCATCAAAACACATTGTTCTTATCCGACTTTAATTCATATTTTTCCTAATTCCTCGAGTTTATATTGTTTTAATATCCTGATGTGTTTATCAAATAGATTCACGCCGAAATATGAATCGTCAAATTTGAATCTTATTTATTTGTTTCACTTCGTCCCGAATTTTAGCTTATCCGCGAGATTCGAGAACATGTTCTTCGTGTAATCAATGTTCTTACACATGATGAGGCGTCTTTCAGTTCACTTCAAGATTCTACAGCCACTAATATGTTGGTTAATTGTACAGCTGTTTTAAGAGGTGTTTCACGTGCTGTAGGATCAATAGCAACAAACAGTAACTCAACTACCGATTTAGTTTCATTAGTTTGGAATGGTCTTTTAGGTCCATTCTTATCACATAGTGCAAATTATTTAGTGTTGGTAAGAATATTACCTAGTACTTATGTTTTTCTTCTTTGTCTGTATATTTTATGTATATGACTTGATAACGGTGGATTTTAATAAAGTTGAATTTTAACAAAGTAATTTAGCTGACCTAACCACTATCGGAAAAAATATCTGATAGATTAAGTTGTGTAACAAAATGGAATTGGTTTATTTTGAGTGTTCAAATAGACATCTTTGTTTCCCACCATATTGTTTCAAATATTTATTATTGTTTACTATGTTTAGAGAAGAGTTTGTGGATTCACTAATAGTCAAGACAATTAACTTCTACATTATCTTATCTAACATTAACATGTTTGATTAGTTACACTAAATTATTGAACTGAATGAAATATGTGTAGTCCCAAAATACACGAGCAATGCTTCAAAGACACCTGTGATCAAATATTAGTAACCTACGAATATCCCCTATTCTTAATGAAATTTTATTTCTTTAGCTTTTCTACATCCAGTAAGACGCAGACAAATACGTGCTCAAACTAGAGTATGATTTGAGTCTGAACATGTGTTTCAGAATGAGGTACAGTCTCTTATCGAAACTCTTTAACAATGGCTGATGGCAATTTAGTCTTTTTGAGTCCATCACTAAACTGATTACGGAGTTCTCCACGTCAGATGATGTTTCTTCCTATATCTAAAGTTGGTGTTTGCTGGAAGCAAACGCTTGTTTGAACATAGTTGCAGTAGACGGTAGCCATTATCTGTTCTCTGTGCTGCGACACCATTAGATCCTCTCAAATACCTTTCGGTTTGATTTAGTCTATTTGCTTTTAACATACTTCATGATCCAATTCTGTTATTATTCCAATTGATCTATGTTCTTTTTCTTGTTCTTTTCAATTCAACCGTCTTTTGTCGTACATTCCATTTATATCTACCAGCATAGGTAGCACCCACCATATATATAGACTTATCGTGAAATCAAATTTACGAATTAGAATTAAATAAAGCAATGACAATGAGCTATAAAAATATATTTATTATTAAATGAAGTAATATTCTTATAATTTTTATTAACTTGTTTACACCACACGGTTTCATATTGAATAAAAGTCGAGAATAGATGCGGTCATGATATTTATCCTAGAAATTCTAACAGGTAATGTGTATCTGGTGAGGAAGTCCAAATTTCTCTTGATTGAACACTCGGACATTCTTTAAAAACAGACGTATCATTCATAATTTGCTTGGTCCCTGAAGATTTTCTCGCGCTCTGTGTGTGTCTAATTGGAGCATAGGTTTGATAATGTCGATTTTCAGATGGCTGAAGGCAAACTATACTTTGTAATGCATAAACGTTTTATTACACATTCCATACGAATAGGAGAATTATCGTAGATTGTTTGACTTTTCTCTGGAAACCGACTAATTCCTAATGAAATTCCTTATCATCACAGAAAATCATTTTTATTGATGAATTTTCAATTTGTCGTATTCAAAGTAGATTTATATAGACGATGCAAGTATCTGCTTTAAATTGAAATAATACATTTAGACGAATGGAAATTACTTTAACCTTACAATGTGTCATTCTTATTTTCATGCTTCATTTTCTAGTACTGGAATATATTGTCAATATTCTAAACTGTTATTTCATAATTTTCACTTGTTTGATTCTTGAGTAGTATAATAAGTTTACTTACTAATTGGAAGTTCACATATGCATTTATACTGTATTATTTTGATAGTCTACATCACAGACTAATCTTAGACAAGCACATTGAAAGAAATCTAGAAAAAACCAAATAAGTTTTGTAAGCAATGATAGATAGTGGCTAGCAGTGGAATCCAGTTTGACGCGCGTTTTGTTCTATTTGGGACTCGTCAGCTGGATGTACCTGCATCGTAGAGTTGATGTTCACTTTGGTACTCGAACCCAGTACCACTCACTTCAAATGTCATCGCGTTATCCACTCCAGCCACTGAGTCCTGATAGCCATTTGCTTGTGCAAATAAGTTTGTTTTTCGTATGAAACTCTTAACTGTGGAAGTCATCGATGATTCCGCAAAAATAACAGACTTAATACATACATTCAAATCGACCAGTGAGTTTTCATCCACCGGTTTATATTATGTTATTCTGCAATTATGATTGTTTTCTTTTTCACTGTTTTTGTTGTTATGTGTGATGTTTCTTGTTTTTGTTCTCATTTTATAGAAATGTCATAATTACTCAGATGCTTTACAATCATTATTCTCTTTATTCACTGATGTTGCTGATTCCTGTCTAATTTATTTGGCCGGTCTTCCATCATCATTTCCAGAATCATTATTGAATAATGATTCTACAGTTGTACAATCATCATTGGAAACAAATAATGAAACTAGAAATGGTTGTGCTACTCCATATGCTTCTGGTTCATTTTTAAATTGGACAGTTGTTCTATGCAAACATTATACTAAAATTACACAAGGTAAATATCCACGATCTCAATCTAGGTAGATATAATTAGTGTTCTGTTCTTTCAAATTATTAGTGTTGTGTTAAATTGTGCTTGGTCAGAGTAAACTGTCATAACATTTTATTTAGTTTATGTTGTCGTTCACTGTTGTCAGTAAACGATTAATGTTTATATTATAATTGAGTTAAAGCTATATGGTTTCAATATAACAATGGAATATGTGGAATATGTGAAATTATCTCCAACCAAACTTAAACTATAACCCACCCCATCAATAACTCGAATCAATCCTCAAAAAAGAGTGCAAAATTGTTATTATCATTCGAACTATTGAAAATATAGTGTAAAACGCATAGGTGTTTAAGTAGTGTCTGTTTTTTCGGGGGGGGGGAAAGGAGGAGGATATCATTGAGAACCAGCCATTATAATGCTAAGGGTCAGATTTAGTTCAAATCCTTGTAAAAATGTTTCATTCACCAGTAAGTAACTTAAAATATCGTGATGTATGTACTGTGGAGTATTTTTAAGTAGATAAGATGTCCTAGTTGTTCTTTTTTAAATATTTAATATTGACTTTCAAGTAAGTTATCTGTCATTCTGCTATGATGATCTAAACTATTCATGTGAATACCTGAATTACACAGTACATGGATAGGAGTACATATTAGTTTTTTTCTGGAAAGAATGACTACATTTCAAAGAAATATTTGGTTTAATTTCTACCCTGAAAGTGGTATATTTAGGTTTGTCGTTGAAGAAAAGAAATCTATTATAAAGTGTCAGAATTTGCATTAGCTTTCTTGGAACTGTAATGTAACTTAAACAACCTTCCCAAAATATCGTTACTAATCTGGTTACTTCTGTTTATCGATCTCGTGAATAATTCGTCTGAATTCAAATCAACAGATTGGTTGAAAATAGCAACTGATTATTCAAATTGTAATCAGCTGGGTACATTTATGTTTGTGTGAAAGCCATTGTATAGTTAATATATATTCGAAAAATTCTTGCATGACTAACAATGGTATATACCTTCGAAAAATTTATATATTTAACCATTATATGGAAGTGAATTTCCTTATTTCATTGGTTTACATGTTCAAGTTAGAAAATGTTATAACTTGTGATCGCCGATAGAGAGAGCAGTGACTTATCGATCGGACCAAAGATACGTAAAACACGTGAGAATAGCCTAGAGTTCTGATTGGCCCTGCTTTCCGCCTAGCCCAGCCAGTTAAGTCCTGAACACCAGTCTCAGCCTCTGTAATATGAATCTTTATATTTCAAACATACTGAGTTTATATACCAATCAAACAGACCACAACGTACCAATAAAATATGAAACAACATTTGTACAAGAATTAGCCAGATGTGGCTGTGAATGGGGCAGGTATTAATTAATATACTGGGTATAACTCATGAATGGTAAACCGTATAATAATAGTTCATAGGTTAAAATAAAGCTTATAATAAGAGGAATATGAATATGCATAGTTTAGTTACCTAATAATTATACGATAGAAATATACGTATAGTATTGACCCATAGATGGATCCCAACGTTACCATTCATTATGTTCCTCGGGTCCTAACAGAAAACAATAAATCGGTACGTGCAACATCATCTAGTGTTTTTATTGTTTCACATCACTAGGTATTGTCTATTTTTTTTATACTTTTTCATTATCTTATATTTATATGAACTTAGTGGCTAAGTGAATAATACGTGAATGTTTAAAGTGAGAGGTAGGTGTCGAGTTTGGATTTCATCATATGAATATCAACATTGAAATTCAGGTGCATCTTCTAGCAGATAAGTCCTACGCAAACCGAAATACTCATTCAGAATTCGAGTACTGGTCCACTATTCAATAATAATTAATTTCATTTTAAGTATTCACATTAGTTGACACTTTTTACTTTACTAATATTATGAATAAATTGTAGGTAAATTAAATTTTGAAGCGACATCTGAAGATGATCAAATTCAAGAACTTCAACTTTTACTTAATCTCCTAAATCGTGTTCTTTATCATGAATTTGAATTAAGGCTTAGTGGCGCTATAGTTTTATCTCGGGTTGATAATGAACTAGTTATTCAACCAGATTCTATGAATTCTCAAGATGCAACATGTAGTACTATTCCGACAGTTGATGCAGCCGTTATTGGTTTAGGACATTTATTACCGTTAATAACAGAATCTAATTTAACAGTAGGTTTTTTTATTTATCTTTTTACCGCTTATAATACATTTTAGTAGTGTAGTGAATTTTACATGTAAATATCAGATCTTATCGTTAACTTGATACACTGACTTCATAATTTATGCTTTAAAAGTTGTTGACAGTTACATTTTAATTATGAACCGATCTAAGTTAGACTATAATTAAAGGTTTCAAAGCACTAGATGGCTGTTTCATTCTAGTATGGGACTACTCATCACTGCACATCCACGACCTCTCAAACGGGGATCCAATTAATTGAGTTGACACATTGAAGCTTAGAGAATTCAAACATAAAAATTGGTGATATCAAATAGAGGGGAGAAACAAAAATGAATAGTTTTGACGTGCTGGTGATGCCTTTTGAATTGAATTTCTCCAATACTATTCACGTTAAATCACAGCGTGCAATTAAAATACTCCCAGTACGAAAGACTATTATCAACTTCAAATAACTTGCATAGCTATTCAAACTATCTTCAGTTTGACATAGAATGAATGAAATGTGAATAACAGTAGAACCAAGGACACACGTGCCGTCCCATTTGGGATTCTTCAATTGGGTTAGTTGTGAAGGACGAAACGTGAGTCCTGAATTCCTCTGCTCATCGCATTCCATCTATTCTATATTAATTTGTGTCATAGTGTCTACATCGAGTTAATCTACACAGGATGCATATATGCCAACCAAGACTGATCAAATCCAGTCGAAATATCAGCAAAAGGGTAATCCGAACCATTTAAAATTGACTTAGATCTCCTATTTAATTTTCGAGTCGATTCGTATACTGGTTATGAAGGAAAACACCAAGTAGTATTTACTTGAGTTCTTAGTATACTATTAGTTAGGTTTTGAATTCATCCAAAGTTGAAAATTGACCATATTTTTTCTACTGTGTAATTGTATTCTTCACAAGAACTTGTACACAATCCATTGTTCTATGTTTCCCGTACCGACACAAAAGTCCAGTTGGAACTCTCCCTCTCCCATCAATTGCTTCTTGTATGATAATATTCAGGATTGAATTCCACAAAAATATGTAGCTAAATTAGCTTTTCACCTTTTTAAGAGATGAGATTTACAAGTTTTATTCAATTTGCCATGTCAAATTTAAAGTTGATGGGAAGATCTGAGAGGGTCTACTTAAGACGTTTAATAAAACTGGTTTCTTCAACTCCCGGTGCGATTTACTTGAGTCACCCGTAGTCGTTCTTTCGTTCGTCTGCGAGTTTTTTGTAATCATTTGTGGGTATAGGTAGAGTGAGAGATTAACTCAATCTGTACCATACGGTTCTGCTGCTTACTTTTGCTCATGGGAAATAAGGTCACACACTAAATAGAGAGTACTGTACGTAAGTACAAGTCGGACTTTGCCTCCCATCCCTTCAGTAATGAATCTGTTTTCTACTCGTGTTGATGAAGGCGCATATATATTTGGCGCACTCCTGTACCAATATATATGTGTTCAACTAAATAAATCAACTTTCACCTACTAAATTGTATGTTCAAACGCTGCTCCACCTACTTTGGTTTGAGCAGTCGAGAATTAATATTATTAACCATCGTATCCATGTACTTGGTGAACAAGTTAGTTATTAATTATTTTGTTATTAGTTCTATAATGCTTCAGATAGTCGTAATTAGTGTTTTTGTGTGCCAACTTTTGTTTTTCAGATCCCAGAATTATGTCAAGCATTTTATTCGCTAGCCTCTTATGCATGTGAATTACGTCCTCAGGGATTCATCCGACTTACAGACAATCAACTCACATCTTTTGGTCGTCTTCTTCGATTTGGAATATTTGGTGTAGAATTTGATCAATCAAATCACATTAAATCTTCATCTGCCTCACGATCTGCATCATGTTCAGCAGGATGTGTTGACAATTCAGTGGTTCAGCAATGTTTGGATATTATAATTTCATTGACTGATCATTTTTTGGAGATTAGATCACGTTCTCGTTCTTGTCCTGTAGAAGAGCTTCAAAATGCTATTCGTTTGATCAATGTTATCGGTTTGAATACACAATTCCTGTCTGACTTATTCACATTACTAACAAGAGAAAGTTATTCGGTCAACTTAGAAGCATCATTTTCATCTGCACTCCTCAATTTAATTCATTTAAATCCGGTAAATAGTTGTTTTGAGTTTTGTGATTCGACGATATTGAATGATTATTTTATAATTGGTTTTGTTTTTTTCTTTACTTATAAACTAATCATCACTGAAGATTGCTAAGATTAGCTAATCGTCCTCGTTAGCCTTACAAATTGATAACGCATACCTGGCTATTTATATGAATGTTGATAATAGTTTACAAGTTGTGTGTAGATACTCTATTTCGCATAGCCATGTGTATACACCCTTTTATTTATTACTGAAAGAATATCGTGTTTTTACTTAATTACGCCTGTTACTCCTCGTTGGGGAGCATAGACCACCCACCATCACTCTCCATCCAACACTGTCCTGAGCAATCATTTCCAGCTCCTTCCAATTGTTATTCATACTTCTCATATCTGCTTTTATTTCCCGACCTAATTTGTTCTTTGGTCTTCCTCTTTTCCGCTTCTCTTCAGGATTCTAAGTTAGCACTTGTTCCGTGATGCAGTTTGATGATTTTCGTAATGTATGTCCTATCGATATCCCTCGTCTTTTCCTAATTTCCTCTTCAGCTGGAAGCTAGTTTGTTATCTCTCAGAGAAGGCTGTTGCTGATGGTATCCGGCCAACGGATGTTGAGTATCTTGTGTAGACAACTATTTATAAATACTTGTACCATTTTGATGATGGTTGTGGTGTGGTGTGAGCTACTTATATTGATATAAGTAGTATATAACGTGCGTTAAAAGAACGTAATGTCCGGCAGCAGAAGATGGCGAAGATCAAGAAAGGAAGAGCAAGAGCACAATGGAATTGTAAGAAAACGCATGTACAATGGAATGGGCGACAATGGATTAGTGTTTGCAACGGGAACAGTACAGTTTGATATGATTGAATGATATTTTGCAAATTGACGATTGACTTTATGGTATTCACATTTTATTGAGATAGTCTATAATTTTGTGCTAAATACAATCGATTGTCCCCACCCGTGTTCTTGTTCACTACAGTGGTAGTTCCTGAAGTTTCAGCTCCATACAGTTTGAATTTGATATAATAATAATAATAATAATAATAATAATAATAATAATAATTTATTCTCAAATAACAGTTTGTTACATGAGGCATGCCAGTTTACAGGCAAGATCAAATTGATACAAATGATACAATATACACTGTATTAAATTACATAGCTGGGTTGAAAATTTATAAGACATGTATGTATGTAGTTTTAATCAGTACTATAGTTGGCGCGCTTCACGAGAGTTGCGTTGCGAATGTGCGACTGATGGTCAAGAATAGGTCCATTAAAGGTATGAGCTTCTAGAAATCGCAACCTTATGTCCCTTTGGGATATCGAAGGCTTTAAGGATGGTGCAGGATGAAGTAACCTGTTCCATATCTCAAGGGGGCTGAAAGAGGGAGCAAGTAAAAGAAAACACGAGAGGCAGAATAGCCAATATTCATGTAGGAATGTTTAAGGTATGATTACTCAGTCTAATTTTCTTTTATTAAGATATTTGTTAAGAAAGAGCATTTTAATAGGTTAAAGAAAATAAGCTTCAGCAAGGTGTGAGTGGACATACAACTGACAAATGGAGGCGATTCGGAAAAGAGCTGAGAGTATAAGATTATGTGTGATTATAAAATAAAACATAGTGCTAGAAACAGTATTGTGATATACAACTGGCTATCTTCCTTTTATTATCGAAGCTATTAGAGCCCCTTTCGTTTTTTTATTTCTTTTTTTTCAGGTTTTATAGGGTCTTGAGTGGGCTTCGTATATTAGCGAATTGTCTAGTTTGCTTGTAATAGGATTTCTGAGTAGGAAGTGAAACCAATTCAACGTTCGTAACACGATTTAAAGAGGTATTTTGCGTGATAGATCAGCTTCAATACCTTAAGTCCGTGACATCCCACTAAACCATAAGGAGCCGTAATTAAACAAAATGTTCTGCCCTACAGACATGGGTGGATTGAAGTTATCTCCCCACCTTCATGTTTGCTGGTCAGTAACGCCACCCTCCCTCCTTTTGTGATGTTAGGCTCTCTTACGTTTGTGGTAAGTATGATTAATGCTTTAATCAAAGCACATAGTTGGAATACACTGTCTCTACTAGGTCCATGTTACAAGCAAATCAGATATTTAAAAATTCTGCTTTATGGGTTAGATGTCCATATAGTATATCACACTGCTATGAAAATAACTAATGGTTTAAAGAAGTAAGGATTAATAGTAAATCAAAAGATATGAGAGGGTATAAAATTGTAGAAAAAAAAGAAAAAGACTTTAGGGTGAGAAAAATAAAACATTGAGAAACTCACAAGACTTTGTGGCCAAATTTTGAGCTTTGAATGATCGGCCTTAGTAGATCAGCATCCATAAGATTGAGCTATCTGTCTACTTGCAGTAGAAAAAAAAGCATGACTTTTAGGAAGAATAATGCACATTTAACCTGTAGAGATTTGGGGACTGAAAGCTAGGGTTAGGAGCATGAAATCATGATTAATAAACAATGAATAATAGGAAAGGATAAGCCATATATCCTGTGATTTGGTTATATTTAGATTAGTAACAGTCGAACTTGTTATAATTCTGTTCTTTCTAGATACTAGGCGGTCCGTAATAAAGTGCCTCATCGGTGGGCGGGAGTTCAAGGTAATGTTGAAGCTCTTTGGAGTCTAGAAATAGGGCTATTAGCTTTTTGAATCTGGTAAACGTATCACAGTTACGGATAGGCATTGGCAGCCTGTTCCACAATAAACTGTACCGTACTGTAACGAACTTACAACGCATTTGTTTTTGGTGTTTTACGGTAAGTAGTGTATATGCGTTGTTTCTAAGTCTATAGGCTGGGTCGTGGGTGATAGTCGGGCAGGAGGTTGAAAAGGAGAGCCCATATATCGCTTTGTAGAGAAATATTAAATTGTGTTTAAGCCTACGGTGCCATAAAGGTTCTAAAGATAGATGCTTACATCTGTCTGTGTAATCGATATTCCAGTTACATCCTAGTAGTTGACGTGTGAAACGTCTTTGAACATCTTCTACTCTTATCTTGACTGCGATATTCATATTAGAGAAGACAAAAGAGCAGTATTCAAGGGTGGGTCGTACACATATTTTGTAGAGAGTAAGTTTACCCTCTGTTGTGAAAAAGTTTTCCATTATAAAACCAATTAGCCGTCTAGATTTAGAAATAATAGAGGAGGCATGTTCTTCAAAGTTTAGGCTTCCTGTGTAATTAATTCCTAAATCGTGTACTGATTCGAGTGTTTGGACTATACATTCATTTAAGTGAAGTCGCGGTTTATAGGGATGCTTTCCAAAGTGCATGATCCCGCACTTGTTGAGGTTAAATGGTAATTGCCATTTTTCACTCCATATAGTTAAGTTATTGAGGTCCTTTTGGATCTGTGATACACTTTCGCTTAGTGTCTCAGGCTTATAGCTGTATACTATTTTGAGATCATCAGCATATAAGTACGGTTTCCCGAATTCTATGGTGTTACATATATCGTTTATATACATAAGAAACAAAAGTGGCCCTAATACGCTTCCCTGGATGACTCCACTGGTGATTGGTCTAGGGGACGAGAGACAGTCATTGTACTTTACCATCTGTTTACGTTCTGTTAAGAACGAAGCAAACGATGAGTACAGTGGGTTGTGTATTCCGAAGGACTTTAGTTTGACGAGTAGCCTTTTGTGTGGGACCTTATCAAAGGCTTTCTTAATGTCTAGGAATAGGACTGATACAAGGAGTCCGCTGTCTCGTCTCAGAGTTATATCATTCAGGTAGTCTACTAGGCATGTATCGCATGATCTGGACCTAAGAAATCCATGCTGGGAGGTCGACAAGAGATTGTTAGTTAATAGATGTTGGACTACAGCCGCCTTAACTACTTTTTCCATCACTCTGGATACCACTGAAGTTATGTTTATAGGCCGGTAATTTTCAACGTTTGCTTCAGGTCCTGTTTTAAGTTTGGGAATGATATGTGTAGTTTTCCAGGCAGTAGGGTAACACGCTGAAGAGAGTGATATCGCGAATAGTTTGAGAAGCAAAACACACATATCATCACCTCCACGTTTTAGCACGCTAGCTGGAATACCATCTGGTCCATCAGTGTAGTAGTGTTTCAATGTACTGATTGCCTTGGAGATATTTTGTACACTGAATTCTACACTAGTAATTTCACAGGGAGTTACTGGGATTGGTTCTGAATCATTAAATAGTTTTTCGTTAGTTAGTGAGAAACAAAAATGTTCACCAAATAATTCAGTGATAAGTTTGGGATCTTCGTATACTTGTTTGCCTTTAATGAATATACTCCCTCTCGATTTAGAGCGTTTAAGTTTATTTTGGAGTAGTATGGTGAGTGCAGAGGAGTTATTATTAAGTTCGACTGCACGTTTTTCCTGTGCTACTGCTTTTTGTTTAGTTATTGCCTCTGTTCGGACAAGTATTTCTGTCATCGTTACTAAAGAGGAAAAGTCATTTAAGTTGTGGAATCGAGTACAATGTCTTTGAAGACGTCTTCTTGTACTGACCGGTATATAGAGATCTTTGGAGAACGTAGGTTTACAGTATTCTAAAGGTGCGATGTTGTTGATGATACTTTTGATGTTGTGATAAAATATATTGGTTAATGTGTCGGTATTGTTTGAGGTAAAGAAAGTTCTCCAATCAGTGCTTCTTAGGTAATTGTGGAAGTTATTCCAATCAACCTTGCGATAGTTTCTACGAAGTGTTACGGTTTTACTTCTATCGGTTGTGGTTTTTACATTAAGGCTGCATATGACAATGTTATGATCACTGCCTGGGAACGTTTTTCCAATATACAAAGTATTGGGGATGAGGCCACTGGTAAAGACTAAGTCTAAGATGTTTTGATGTCTGGTAGGGCTATCAACATACTGAGTCCATTGTCCAAGCTCTAGACATTCAATAAATGATTCATAACGTCTCGGCGCTTTGACTGGCAGGCAAGAAATTTCGGGCATATTGAAGTCACCACAAATGATCT